GGTTGCATTTAGGGTTGCATTTAGGGTTACATGGCCGTGTAATGCAGCCCAAATGCAACATAAATGAACCCTAGATGATGTGTGGGTTCCTTCCTACCAAAAGACCAAAATACCCTTTGACCTAAAAAGTAGAAAAGTGGACTTTTGACCTCACAAGTCAAGGTTTAAGCCCAAAAATAAATCCTAAACTAATTTTCCCCTTAATAAAAAGGTTAAATGAAAATACATAATAAAATCCTATTATCTAAAGTACCCCAAAATACAAGGGTAAAAAAGGAAATAAAGCAATAAAGTCCTATACTACTAAAAATGGGCCTAGGAGATGGATCAATGCTCCACACTCATGATGAGTATGGCTCTAGGTATGGTGTCTCCTTCATCTTCCTCCATTCTCCTAGCTATGGACCTAGTAATGGGTCCAATATGAAACTCCAAGGACGGTCCTCCATCATTCACCTCCACTTAGTGAAGAGAGCCAACCTAGAAGCACCCAAAACACCTCCCTCCCTTTATTTTCCTTATTCGCCCAACCTTCCCCTTTCACACCCACCTTCCCTAAATTCTCCACCCTTGAAGGAACATCCACCCTTAAGGTCATCATCTTGGCCTTGGCAAGGAGCTTCTCCCCACCTTGGATGTCATTGATCAACCCCATGGTGGAAGGAGTCCATCACATCCAGAGGCCTATGCTGCAAATATTTTGATGGAATCACATTAAGGCCAAGAAGACCAAGAGGTGATATATTGAAAGAGTCAAGAGGAACGGGTTAGTTTTGAAAACTATAAGAGGAGTGGGCCTACATTTGGGCCTTAGCTCCTACATTTTTTATTAGTATAGGATTTATTCCTATTTTTCCCTTGTCTTTAATTTCCTATTTTACCCTTGTATTTGTGGTACCTTAGACATAGGATTTATTTATCTTGTATTTCCTATTTTACCCTCGTATTTTTGGGTGTCTTAGTTATAGGATTTATTTTTATTTGTATTTCCCATTTTACCCTTGTATTATGGGGTGCCTTAGATTATAGGATTTTCTTTTATAGCCAGGGTATTTTATTAGGGTGAGAAAATAAGGCCTAGACATGTTTTTTGGTAGCCTTGGATTTATTTTTGGACTTGGCAAGGTTTAGGCCCAAGTGGAGGGCACCTAGGTTGCATGGTCTTATCATGCACCTAGATGTAGCTTAACCAAACCCAAAGATTCCATCCTTGGCCACCAAGTAGCATCTAGGGTTAATTTAGGTTTCATTTGAAGTGCATTTGACTTGCATTTTTCAACCAAGCACTCTCAAATATAACCCTAAATACATCCTCCCTTCTATAAATACCCTAGGCTAGCAACCTTGTAAATACTTTGGAATTAATGATATTAAGAGAGCCTTTGAGCCTTAATATTCTTTCCTTAGTCCCCTTGGTGATTTTGGCCAACTATCCTTCTCATCTTCACCGTGAGTGTTCTCACCTTTAGGAGTGGCCTTCATCCATCAATGAAGTGAGCCAAAACCCTAGAGTACCACCTTAGCATTTCATCAAACACCTAGCCTCCATAAACACTATTCACCCATCTCCATCTCCAAGGCTAGAAACCTTGAGTTCCATGATCCAAGGAGTCCGGTCTTCCCTCTTTGATGCTCCTAACTCAATCCATGCAAGGAGGGTTTCCATCATATTTACAATAGACCTCCTGTGCAACAGCAGCAGCAAAGTTATGATCTCTCTAGCAATAGGTACAATCCAGGTTGGAGGAATCACCCCAATCTTAGATGGTTCAACCAGCAATAGAAACAACAACAGCCATCCCCTCCCTTCCAGAATAGTGTTGGTCCTAGCAGATATATGCCTCCTCCTGTCCAATAGTAGTAACAGAGACATCATGATGTTCCTGCACCTCCAGCTCTACCTTCTACTTCTGAGCCTTCATTGGAAGAGTTGTGAGGCATATGAACATTCAAAACATGCAGTTTCAACAAGAGATGATAGCCTCCATTCAGAGCTTGACAAATCAGATGGGGCAGATGGTCATTCAACTTAATCAGGCACAGTCTCAAAATTTAGATAAATTACCTTCATTGACTGTGCAAAATCCAAAGAATGTGAGTGCCATCACCTTGAGGTTTGGCAAACAGATTGACATACATGCACATATACCTGTACCAACACCTGAGCCTACACTTGAGAAAGAGGCCCCTGCAGGTGGACCTTCTTCTAGTGCACACAGTGGCGACTTGCAACAACCTCCTATCCCTCTTCTATTTCCACCAAAATTAATTCCAAGCAAAAAGATGGAAGAGGTGGATTAGGAGATATTGGAGACCTTCAGGAAGGTGTGTAGACCCCTAAAATTGTCCGGGTCGGAAATAAAGAACATACCTCTGTTGGATGCCATTAAGAAAATTCCCAGATATACTAAGTTCCTGAAGGAGTTGTGCACCCACAAAAGGAAATTGAAGGGAAATGAGCGAATCAACATGGGTAGAAATGTCTCAACACTTATAGGTAAATCTGTTCCACACATTTCTGAAAAATGTAAGGACCTAGGTACATTTTGTATACCTTGCATTATTGGTAACAATAAATTTGAAAATGCCATGCTTGGTTTAGGAGCTTCAATTAATGTCATGCCTCTGTCCATTTTTAAATTTTTGTCTCTTGGACCTCTACAACCTACGAGTGTGGTCATTCAGTTGGCTAATAAGAGTGTTGCCCACCCCACAGGTTTTGTAGAGGATGTCTTGGTTCGGGTTGGTGAACTTATTTTTTCTGTAGATTTTTATGTTATTGATATGGAGGAGAGATTCTCCCATGGTTCTGTCCCAATCATTCTAGGAAGACCATTTTTGAAAACAGCCTAGACCAAGATTGATGTTTATGCTAGCACTTTATCTATGGAATTCAGTGATATTGTTATTCATTTTAATATTCTGGATGCCATGAAATTTCCTTCTAAAGACCATTCTTTTATTTCGTACTGAACTGATTGACGATATAGTTGATGAGCACATTCCTGATTTTGATTCTTTTCATGTTAAGACACATTCATTTTTATCTAATTTGTATAACTATGTTTCATGCATTGAGTCTGAATCAGAATTTGAGTTTGGAAGTGAATTTAATTGTGATGATACATCTGAATTTGATATTTTGGTTGTTGTACCTCTCAATCTTGATTTTATAGAGTCAAAATGCACTAACCATGTTGTAGGAAGTACAAAAGAATCTGACTTGTAGGTTGAGGTACAGGTTGCGGAACCCTTTGTCCCTTCTCTAGTTCCTTCTGATGTTTAGCCAACACCCACACCAGAGTTGAAGCCTCTTCTAGTGAACCTCAAGTATGCTTACTTGGAGGATAATAAGAGATTTCTTGTGATCATTTCCACCTCCCTTGATGTTGATCAAGATAAGAGGTTTTTGCATGTGCTCAGGGAACACAAGAAGGCGATTGGTTGGACCCTAGCAAACATTCCTAGTATTAGCCTATCCATGTGCATGCACAAGATACTATTGGAAGATAGAGCTAAACTAGTGAGACAGCCTCAAAGAAGAGTTAACTCGGTGATTCTAGACGTCATAAAGAAGGAGGTGACCAAGCTTCTACAAGCTGGGATCATTTATCCCATTTTTGATAGTCAATGGGTGAGTCCAGTCCACGTGGTCCCCAAGAAGACAAGCCTCACTGTTGTTAAGAATGAGAGGGACGAGCTCATACTCACCAGAGTGCAAAATAGTTGGATAGTCTGTATTGACTATCGGAGGCTCAACCAAGCAAAAAGGAAGGATCATTTTCCTCTACCCTTCATTGATTAGATGCTTGAGCATCTAGCAAGTAAATCTCATTACTATTTTCTTGATGATTTCTCTAGTTATTTTCAAATTCACATTGCTCCTAAGGATCAGGAAAAAACCACATTCACCTGCCCCTTTGGCACTTTTTCCTATAGGAGGATGCCTTTTGGCCTATGCAATGCCCATGGCACATTCCAGTGGGGCATGCTTAGTATTTTTTGTGACTTTCTTGAAAATTGCATAGAGGTTTTTATGGATGATTTTAATGTTTATGGATCCTCTTTTGACACTTATTTGGATAGTTTGCAAAAAGTTCTGAATAGATGTATTGAAACTAACCTTGTTCTTAATTTTGAGAAATGTCATTTCATGGTAGAGCAGGGTATAGTTTTAGGGCATATCATTTCTAGTAGGGGCATTGAGGTAGACCTTACAAAGATATTTGTTATTGCACAATTGCCTTACCCCTGTTGCATGCGAGAGGTGCGATCTTTTCTTGGCCATCCAGGTTTCTACAGGCACTTCATTAAGGACTTCAACAAGAAAGCCCTTCCACTATCCAACTTGTTGCAGAAGGATATTGACTTCAATTTTGATGACAGGTGTAAGGAGGCTTTTGACGGCCTCAAGAAAGTCTTGACCACCACTCCTATCATTCAGGCACCAGATTGGATAGTTCTCTTTGAGTTGATGTACGATGCTTCAAATTATGCATTAGGGGCTGTCCTAGCACAAAGGGTTGAGAAATTGTCCAGGGTGATATACTATGCTTCCAGGATGTTAGTTGCTGCTCAAGTAAATTACACAACCATGAAAAAAGAACTCTTAGCTTTTGTTTTTGCACTTGATAAATTTCGGTCATATTTTCTTGGTTCTCGTGTTGTTGTTTTTATAGATCATGCAGCTCTGAAGTACCTGTTGAAGAAGGCTAAGTCAAAGCCTAGGCTAATCAGATGGATGCTCTGGCTCCAAGAATTTGATTTGGACATCCGTGTTAGGAATGGAGCATAGAATTTGGTGGCAGACCATCTTAGCAGGATTGAGAGAGCTGAGGATGAAAGTACCTTGCCCATTCATGATGATTTTCTTAATGAACATTTGTTAACTATTTCTGTTCCTTCCCTCACCCCTTGGTTTGCAAATATTGTAAATTATTTTGTTGCTTCTGTTTTTACTCCTTTAGCATCTAGAGCTCAAATTGATAAACTTAAGAGCGATGCTAAATATTATGCTTGGGATGACCCCTATTTATGGAAGTTATGCAGTGATCAGGTAATTAGGAGATGCATTTTGGACCATGAGATTGACTTAGTCCTGTTGTTCTGTCATTATTCTACACCTAGTGGTCATCTTGGCATTTAGAGGACAGCTCGCAAGGTGCTTGATTATGGTTTCTACTGGCCCACCATCTTCAAAGATGCGTGGAAGATTTGCAGCACTTGTGAGCAGTGCTAGAGAGTAGGAGGATCCCTTTCCAGGAGACAGTAGATGCCTCAGCAACTTATGTTGTTCTGTGAGGTTTTTGACGTTTGGGGTATAGATTTCATAGGTCCTTTTCCTGTTTCTTTTGGTTATTCATATATTCTCCTGGATGTTGATTATGTTTCAACATGGGGTGGAAGCCAAAGCCACCAAAACTAATGATGCTCGGGTTGTTGTGGATTTTGTCTGATCTAACATATTTTGCAGGTTTGGTATTGTCAATGATTAAGGCACCCATTTTTGTAACAGATCCATACAGGCCTTGCTCAGGAAGTATGGGGTTGTTCATAGAATCTCTACACCCTACCACCCCCAAACTAATGGGCAAGCCGAGATTTCAAACAAGGAGATTATAAGGATCTTGAAAAAGATTGTACAACCCTACAAGAAAGATTGGAGCAACAGGCTGGAGGATGCTCTTTGGGCACATAGGATTGCTTACAAAGCACTCATAGGGATGCTCCTTATCAGGTTATATTTAGCAAAGCATGTCATCTTCCTGTGGAGATAGAGCATCGAGCCTACTAGGCTTTGAAGACCTGCAACTTCTCTATTGATCAGGCTGGAGAGAAAAGGAAGTTGCAACTAAATGAGCTTGATGAGATCCGCCTGGAAGCCTATGATAACTCTAAGTTCTACAAGGAGAAAACCAAGAAGTTCCATGACAGCTTGATATCTAGAAAGGACTTCACAGTTGGGCAGAAAGTTCTATTGTATAATTCAAGGCTCAATCTCATGGGTGGTAAGTTACGTTCTAAGTGGATTGGACCTTTTGTTGTTACTAATGTTTTTCCTTATGGTACAGTTGAAATCAAAAGTGAATCCACAGACAAGAGCTTCAAAGTTAATGGGCATCGTTTGAAGCGTTTCCTTAGAAACCCTTCCTTGTTGAATGCAGCTATAAAGGAGATTTCTTTGCTTGACCCCGCTTCTCTCCCACCATGACTCAGGGAGTTTTCTTTTTCTTTCTCCCTCTTTACTTTTATTGCACATGTCCAATTCTGTTGATTGTTCTGATTGCTATGATCTTATGTGTGTGCCACATTAGGATAATGTGTGGTTTAAGTGTGGGGGGAGATTGTTTTAGTTATATGTTTTAGGGTTTATTTATTATTTTTGGTTTAGGTTTTATGTTTAGGTTTGATGTACAATTTTGTATGTTTCTCTTTTATTTCTGGGTTTTGATAGTTTGTAGGCACTTACTTCACTCTTGGATATGAGTTTCTTAATATTTTATGGATTGAAATCCCTATCTTTCTCTGCTTGACAAGTTGATTATGAGGTTTGAGAGGTTGATTTGAATGTGACAGATTTACCCTGTGTAAGGTTTTGAGCCACTTCCTGTTCTTTCTTATGTGTTTTGCCTCTTGCTTGCTTGCACAATATCCTTGGCTTGACTCTGTTTGATATTTCTTAGATCATATGCATGTTTGGAAAGGATTAAGGCATTTTGATTCTGATAAGCCTTTAGCCAAATAAGCCTACCTTGAATTACCTCCTCTGATAACCCCTGCTGAGCCTGTTTCCCTTTCTTTGTTTGAAGCTCATTACATTCCTTAAGTGAAAAACCATGATTACCTTAACCTTAGGGAGTTTTGGAGCTTTGGAATTGTTTTGGGAATAAGTTCTTGAATAAGTGTGGGGGTGTGTGTATGTTTCATTGGATGATGTATATTGGCTAGTTGGTTCTTTATGCTGTACATTTTACTTCTCTGCATCTTGTTATCTTAGTATCTTATATCTTATGATATATTAGTTTTTCATGTTGTATTGTTCAGCCATAAAAAAAACAAAAAAAATACAAAAAAGAAAATGAAAAAGAAGTTGTTTGAGGCAGAAGAAAGAGGATTAATTGTAGAGGTTATTAGAGGTTTTTGGGTTTGCTTCTTATGCTTATTTTTAACTTATTCCCCATTGCTCCTCTGGTCCCTCTGGTTTGTAGTTACTTATCCCATATATTATCCTCTACCCTGTCCTCAGCCTCATTACATGATGTAGGACCATCCTTGGAGCTTCATGTGGGACCCATCAATAGGTCCATGGCTAGAAGATTGGAAGAAGATAGGGAGCTAACACCCCTAGAGACATGCTTCTTTTGGTTAAAGGATATTGATCATTCTCCTAAGCCTTGTTAGCATAGAATTTATTTTTATTCCTATTTTTCCCTTGCCTTTAATTTTCCCATTTTACCCTTATATTTTGGGTATCTTAGACATAGGATTTATTTTACTTGTATTTCCAATTTTACCCTTGTATTTTGGGGTATCTTAGTCATAGGATTTATTTTTACTTGTATTTCCCATTTTACCCTTGTATTATGGGGTGCCTTAGATCATAGGATTTTATTTTATAGCTAGGGTATTTTATTAGGGTTAGGAAAAAGGCCTAGACGCATATTTTTGGTAGCATTGGATTTGTTTTCGGACTTGGTAAGGCTTATGCCGAAGTGGAAGGCACCTAGGATGCATGGTCTTATCATGCACCTAGATGTAGCTTAACCAAACCCAAAGATTCCATCCTTGGCCACCATGTAGCATCTCGGGTTAATTTAGGTTTCATCTGAAGTGCATTTCGCTTGCATTTTTTGGCCAAGGCACTCTCAAATGCAACCCTAATGCTTCCTTCCATCTATAAATACCCTAGACTATGCAACTTGTAATCACTTTGGATATTGAATATAGAGAGAGCCTTTGTGCTTTTGTATCATCCTTAGTCTCCCTTGGCTAAATTCGGCCACACCATTCCTATCTCCATCCTTGAGAGAAAAACCCTAGAAGTGGCCTTCCTCACCCATGGAGTGAGCCAAACCCTAGAGTACCCTCTTAAACCTTTCATCAAACACCTTCACCCCACTCTCCATTTCTGCCCATTCCATCGTATTCCTTCTCTAAACTTGATGTCACCCTTGAGGGACTTGATCCTAGAAGTTAAGGTGTCCTCACATTGATCAACCATTCCATCAATGAAAGCAAGGATTCCATCATGTGGTATCTAGAGCCTTGGTTCTTCAAGGGTAACATTTTCTTTGTCTCTTGTATTGTCGGTCATGTCATGTCTTTCTTGATTTTCTAAATTGCTGTGCTTAAAAAGAGTCATCATCTTTCCACATGTTCATGATCGATATCTCTTCTTTCATGTGTTGATTCATGCCTTTATCACCCTTGTGAATCATCTTGGTGCTTTAGGCTTCTTTGCTAGGGTTCGTACCATTTTTCTTTTAAATTTGAGTTGCTGGAAAATTTTGGGCTGCATGATATATTGATGATTTTTTATTTTATAATCCATCTGGTTTTGTCATAAACTTGTTTCTTTTTGAACTACCTTGAAAAGCATTCCAAACATTTATGCTTCATCCTTGAAATGAACAAAAAAATGACATGCATGCCACTTGTTTGATGAAATGGCCATGAGTCCTTGATGTGCTTTAGAGAGTCATTCATGCACGCTAAGTAGTTCTAGGATGTTCTACATCTCTAAAATATCATGTGTGATTACATCCTTTACACATTTTTACTTTGGAATTTTCGGCCATCCTTGAGTATTTCCTAGTGCACTTGTATGCCTACATATTGTTTGATGATTTGAGTATGAAAAAAATGACTTTATGTGCATGTTTTTTGCTGTTGTTCATGTGCACACTAAAACTTTAAGAAAAAACTCAAATATCATCTCATTGAGCCATCATAAGTTAAAAAAAAAGGATACTCCAAAAGTTGCTAACCAAACAAACAATCACAAGTGTAAAACCCGAGCAAAGGAAGAGTACAGACATTAAAAAAAAAAAAAAAGATTGTGGCTGGACCCTTGACCCCAAAACCGAGGCAAATCTAAGCTTAAAAAAGGAACAAAAGAATCAAAGACAAAAGAAAAAGGGAACCTTTGCTAGACTTGTGGGGTTTTGGACCAATTTTAATACCTTGGCACTTGGAGTTATTCTTGGACTATTGGACAAAACTTAATGGCCGAATGAGACATTTAATCAAACACATTAAGTGCACTACTTTCTTTTAAGCCTACTTGTTGAATTCTAATCTAGTGCCATTCTAGGACTTATTCTCTTGTGTGCTTGCATTTCTTAATGTGCCTTAATTTTATTTTTGTGTCTTCTTTCTACTCTTAAGTTTGTTTCATCAATTCCACTTGAGTTTAGCCTTTTTAATTGTGCCTTTTTATTTTTTCTTCCTTGGCCTCTTGTACTCTTGGGTTTTGGTTTCTTCTTGACCTAGGTGAGGAAAGCTTCTAAACACCACACACTCTCTTGGTGGATTGAGTGAAGGGACTGTCTGAATTGAGTTCAAGGTGCTTTGGAGGATCACACCAAATCAAAGAGTGCATACACCATTGAAAGGCTAACCTTAGGTGTTCATTATGAAGGGGTGGAGAATTGAAGACTTGAAGACTTGGAATTTTTCCTTTTTCAATTTTTTTTTTATATTTAATTTTCGGCCTCTTATGTTTTGGCCTTTGTTTTCAATTGTTTTGGGTTGAAATTGGCCATTTTTAAACCTATTAGTTTAGGGTAACTCGAAGTAGTGCTTGTGAGAGTGGCTTGAATGCCACCAAGGTCACTTCAAGCTCCCACCCTAGGGAATCCGACTAGCATATGCTTTAAGTTACTTTTCTTTGCATGTTTTATAGCATTAGTAGTATATTGGCTTAGGCTCTTTATTCTTACTTTTTTCGTTTTAGAAGGCTACAAGTTACCTACTAGGGGGCCGTGCACACACACATAAGTATTGTGAAAATTGTTTTGTGAGAAAAGGGTGAAAAGGCTTAGTGATTTCTACTTGAAGAGACTTGGTTTTTAAGTGATTCCTTGTAGTCCACCTCCCTTGATAGTTCACTTTGTACACTTAGGCCTTTTCATACCAATCTTGCACCTTGAAAACCTTTTGTGAAAATCTTTTCATCACTCACTCTTTGTGAAAACCTTTTTGCCAACCTTATGAAACATATTTGTGAAAACCTTTTCTTGATCAAATATGAGTGATCATTCTAGTGTACATGGTCATAATTCTTGTAGTACTAGACCTAGTGGCAGGGATGAACTTAGAGATTTAAAATAGTATTTGAGAAGAAAAGAGAAGGAAAATATAAAAAGAGGGGAAGAACTTAGAAAAAGAGAAAAAGAAAATGGTAGAAATAATGAGGAAATAAGACAACTACTTGCTAGGTTAGTTGTGGGAGGGGAGGCTAGTGGATCAAACTCTAGATTTCCCCCACCTAAGTCCTTAAAAGGAAAGGGGGTTAGAATACCTTCAAGTATTCATGAGGAGGAAGGGCATCACACCCAACCTCCAAGTGATAACTTCTATAGTAGTCATCATAATGATGATTACTATCAAAGACCCCCAAGGCAACCAAGACATAGGGAGTCTTCCAATAAGGAACCCAACATCACTCTTCCCCCATTCCATGGCAAAGACAACGTTGAAACCTATTTAGATTGGGAAATGAAGGTTGAACAACTTTTCTCTTGCCATGGAGTGAGTGAAGAAAGGAAGGTTTCTTTGGCAACCCTTAGCTTCCAAGGGCATGCCATGTATTGGTGGACCTCCTTAGAAAAAGAAAGGAGAATAAATCAAGAGCCCCCAATCCAATATTGGAATGATCTCCGTGGTGCCTTGAGAAGGAGGTATATTCCTCCATACTATGACCGAGAACTCATGGATAAACTTCAAAGATTAAAACAAGGGACATCTAGTGTGGAAGTATATAGGCAATCTATGGAGTTGCTAATGATGAGGGCTGGGATTAGGGGGGAAGAGAGGACCACAATCTCTAGATTTCAATGTGGTCTTAGTCTTGAGATAAGAGACAAAGTTGAACCTTTTCCTTATAGAGATTTTAATGAACTTGTTCAACTTTGCTCAAGGGTGGAGCATCAACTAAAAAGAAAATCTTTTCGAAAAGGCTCCACTCCCTCTTATTCCAAGAGTTTTAAG